CTCTCTCTCTCTCTCTCTCTCTCTCTCTCTCTCTCTCTCTCTCTCTCCCCTTTCCTCTCTCCTTTTCTCTCTCTTCTCTTTTCTCCACCCCCCACCCAATTTATCTTTTCCTTCCTTCTCTCTGGGTCCCTTTCTCAGAAATGTTCACTAGCTTTCAGTGACTAATCACTTCCCTTAGCCCCTACCCCCATTCTAGACAGTCACCCCCTCCCAGTCCCCTGCCAGCCTCATGAATATTTAAACACCTCCAATCTGGACCCAATTACCCACCGACTTTCGCACTGCATTGGGAGGGCTATGGGGTAGGGGCAGAGAAGGATATTCCAGACAGTTGGAGAGATTGGATGGAACACGTTTTAGGGAAGAGGGGCCTGAGGAATGTCTGCGTCTCTTTCCCAACTCTTCTCTTTCCCAGTACCACAGGGACAAACATGCAAGGAGGAGCCTAGAGGTATATAAGTTATAGCTGCCATTTAGATTTTATGTGCAGTTGGTAATCGTGGAGGTTCAATTTCCTCAAAAATGCTGTTTTTATTTATGTAACCTAAATGCATACATATAATAAGCTTAGATATGCACAAGCATATGTCATCTATGCTTCAATACACAATCTGCACACACTCACACATACAGCACTTAAGCATTCTAAGCATTTGAATGTGGAAATAACTATTGTCTAGGAATTAGCATCCATATCTAAAATCATATAGCGGGTTTTTTTTTTTTGCTTATACACACAAGCTTATTTGACAATTGTGGTTTCTTCTAATTTTACCAAGAGAGAGAGCTGAGTATACATGAATGACAGGTCTGTGTAACATTGAAAGTGATGTTTTACAATTTGAGCACAATAGATACAAGAAAGTTCTGTCTTGAGGGAAGAAGCACACCCTGAAGTCTACATCAGTTTGTTCTAGTACCTTCCTTAATTTGGGGGGAAATATGTGACTTGTAAGTTTGTAGTATGCAAATTTGGTATTGTAGGATTTGGGAGCCCTTTCCATCTGTAAAGTGGGAATACTAATGGCAGTCTTGCCAACATGTTATAGGATGAAATGCAATATACACAAGGCACACCAGAGCCGCTCTCACGGCATAGTAGTTTAACAGGCAACAACTTTTCTGAAATGTTGATGACATGTCTAAGTGACTTATGACAAAGAACCTCCCAAATTATTCCTTGTTGTTCATTAGTGATGACAAGCACCTCTAATTAAATAGCTCATATTGTTCCTCATCCCTTCTAGACATAAACTTGCTTAACAGGCAGCAGCAAGACAGCTTGTTATCATGTATATTTCAGGACTGCTAGCTCCATACATGCTTAGTGCACCAAGGGACACACCTCTTAAAATGGACCATCTCAGAAAGAGGTAATGATGATACCAGCGATGATGGTTAGAAATTATCCCTAGGGGTTCTCTCTGAGAATGACCTGCTTTAGATCCAAGCCACTTGGGCTTTTTTTTCTGCCAGTTTGTTTCTCAATTTTTGTGTTTTATGATTTTTCTTCTTAAAAGAAAACACATTCTGGGTTTAATATTCTTTTAACTGTGCGATAATCCTTGTCAGAGTTGAGTCTTCAAAACCAGCTTTCATGTATGTAAGTCATAGAAGAGGGCAGAGAATGAATAAGAAATGACTTCTTATTCTTATGTAATGCCAGTGTAGGCATTAAGGTTATGGATTAGGTTAACCCTTGGGGGTGGGGTGGGGGCTAAGAAAGGAAGCAGAGCCAGCAGGACCGGATGCATAGGAGAAGCAGCAGCTTCTTTTTAACCACTGAACAGGTTTATGGCTCAAATGATAAGACCGTTTTTCTCTCTTTTCATGTACTTCACCAATTCAACCCTCACCTTTATGTTTTCTTTCCTGTTTTATTTATGGGAAGGAACTACCTTATGTAGCATAAGGTAGTCATGAAAAAGAAGAATCAAAATCAGACATGGGTATGGATGAACTTTGTAACAGAGTACATTACACCAAAATAGTAGCATTGACTTCCTCATCAGCTTCTTGACTTATTTTGTCTGCTTTCAGTGGCCTGGAGACAGCCTGGATCTCATCTTGATGAGATTCAAAGACTGAGAAAAAGTGACTTCTTTGACTAGTTCACCCAGCTAATAGGAGATAAACCTAAGACTCCATCACCACGCAATGGGGGTGTGCATCATTGTTTCTGGGTCTTAGTGGTTAGCATATGTAGAGTCTGTGTTGAAATGAGCATTAGTCAAGGTCCACCTATTAGGTCCAAGCCATGAGGAACAAATTGCTATTTTCACCTCAGATAGCACTTGGTACATTCCTAACTAAGTGGCAGTTCTTTAATCACTCTCTTGCTTCAGTGTGCAGAACCCTCATTGTTTTGAATACCTTTGTCTGGATAGGAATATTACAAGTTGCCAAGGAGGACATAAAATTTACTTCCCAAAGAGAGAACTCAGGATTTGAAGCTGAGTTTGAAAACTATGGTACCAATTCCAAGACATCCATTTCTCCAACTCCCATCTAAACCATGGAAGTTTGTGGACTGGCAATAGAATGGGAAAGAAAAGAAACAAAACAAACAAACAAACAAACAAAAAACCCACACACCTTGACTGACTTTAGACCAAAATAGTAACCAACAAATACAAAATCAAAAGAAACAACAACGACAAAAGAACATCTGAGAGCACACATAATAAAAAAATACCTTAGCCAGGATGGTTATTTTCACCCTTTTGTAGGTGACTACCCTGGTTTTTACTCCCTTATCATCATCTTCAGCATATATATGGCTTTGAACCTCATATATCCAATTGTAAGTTTTAAGCTAGCAAATTAATTCATACAATGACCAATCAATTTCTGGGCTCTGGAAGAAGAGGGGGGCTGGGAAACTAGATTCCAGTTCCACTCTCGGATTTCTTTGATTTTTGGATTAAAATTGTTCTGCTTTCATAATAAACCAAGTAGTTCCTTGGCACCTGTGCACATGGTACATGTACACACACACACACACACACACACACACACACACTTAAAACATTTTTAAAGATTTGACTAAAAAAAAGAATGAAATACTGTCATATACTGTAGATGAAACTAGAGATCATTAAAATGAATCAGGCCTAGAAAGACAAATAGTACATATGCTCACATATACGTGGGACCTGATAAATACTGGTCTCATAGAGACAGAGTACAATGGTGGTACTGGAGGCTTAGAAGAGGGAGGGTAAGGAAAAGATCCTGCCAAACAGTTGAGAAATAGGGCTTGTGTTTAAGAGAAGAGAGTGTAGTCATGGAAAACACAAGGGTCTTGTGCCTTCATTGTTTCTAAACTATTAGTCTTATAGCCCTTTACTTTCTGTATTAGCGTGGTAGGACATTTGTAACAAAGTACTGAGGTGGCTTTAAAAGCATACTATTCATACAGTTATGGAGATTGGAAATCCAAGGTCAAAGTGCTAACACACTTGGTTTTCTCTGGAAGCCACAGGTGAAGCACCTGTTTCAAGTGATTTCCTAGATTTGCACATGGCTGCCCTCTTGCTGTTTCTTTGTGGGTGAAATTGTCTCTCTTATAAGGATGCTAATAAGATTGGATTAGGGACTCCCCGTGACTTCCCTTTAAATTCACTATCTTTTTCAAGGCCCCATACCAGAATACAGTCATTCTAAAATGTTTGGGTACAGTTTTAACATATGAATGATGAGGTATACAACCCAATTTAGCCATAGCACCTGCATTCTATATCAGGGTTAGCTGATATATGTCATCAATATTTTGGAAGTTGTAAAAAGCACACTGCCCTCAAGGAGATTCACATACGTAAAAGAAAAAAGCAAATGTTACTGAAACAAGACTTGGTTAAATATTAAATGTGTACTCTAAACAATCAGAATAGAAAATAGCAGTGTGAGCTAGGATTGGTTTTGCATTGTATGAGTAAAATTTGAACAATGAGTTTAAGAGAGGTTGTTCTGGCCGGTTTTATGTCGACACATCTGAAAGGAGAGAAACTCACCTGAGAGAAACTGCTCCAAAAATCCAGCTTAATTAGCGATTAATAGGGGAGGGTCCAGCTTGTTGTGGATGGTGCTATCCCTGGGCTAGTAGTCACGGGTTCTATAAGAAGGTTGAATGAGTAAGCCATGATGAGCAAGCTAGTAAGCAGCACTCCTCCCTAGCCTCTGCATCAGCTCTTGCCCTTCAGGCTTCTGTCCTATAGGTTCCTGTCCTATTTGAGTTCCTGCCCTGACCTCCTTCAATGGTGCACTATGCTACTACGTGGAAGTGTAAGTCAAATAAACCCCTTCCTTCCTAACTATCTTTTGATCACTGTGTTTGGTTACAGCAAGAGAAACCCTATCTAAGGCAGAGGTGAAAGATGCTGTTAGGAAAGGTAAAATACAGATGGTGACTACATAATTGAGGGACTGTCAATCTACAGACATATGACAGTAATAGTAGTCAGAGACATGTCCGAAAGGGTAGGCTAAATCCAGGTGTCTTAAAGAGTCAACAAACCAGCCCATGAGGTAGCTCAACAGGCAACAGCACTTGCTGAACAAGCTGGATCAACTTGAGTTTTATCCCCAGAATCTAGATTTCAAAATTTGGATATGGTGACCTGCAAGTCTATAATCCTAGTATTCCTGCAGATAGCCAGGAAGTAGAGTCAGGAAAATAATCTGGAAGCTTCCAGGTTTCTAGAAAATTCAGCATACCAGAACAGCATACCAGAACAAAGGCCAAGGTGGAAGCAGAGAACTGATGCTTCAAAGTTATCATCTGACCTCCACAAGACCTCCATGAAATAGGTCTATGTACACCTCTCTCTCTCTCTCTCTCTCTCTCTCTCTCTCTCTCTCTCTCTCTCTCTCTCTCTCTCTCTCTCTCTCTCTCTCTCTCTCTCTCTCTCTCTCACACACACACACACACACACACACACACACGCACATTTTCTTAAAGATTTGACTAAAACAAAAGAATACCTCCGTTTGCAGCAATGTAGATGGAAGTAAAGTTCATTAGAATAATTCATGTCAGGCACAGAAAGACAACAGTACATATGCTCATTCATATGTAGACCTGATAAATACTGGTTTCATAGAAACTGAGAGTGCAATGGTCATTACCAGAAACTGGGGGAAGAAGTTAAGGAAAGTTTAATCAATGAGTTCTGATACTGGAGCAATACACCTACAATAAAGTGACTAAAGAAAATAATACTATTTCATACATTTCAAAAAGCCAGAAGAAATTATGACAATTTTCACAATGAAGGAATAAGAACTAGATCAACAAGAAGAACACTATACAATGTATACATCTGTTAAAATATCCTATGGTTTTCATGCAATTTATTTTGTGTATCAGTTAAGAAATAAAATTTATTTTAAAAATATCAAAGAGGATACATTAGCTTCTTAAGCCTACTAAATTTCCACAAATTTATTCTCTCATATTTCTTTAGCTCAGAAATCACAAATCAAAGTACATGAGGGCATGCTCCTTTTGGAGGCATTGAAGAATAATCTATTGATGGGTGGGGCCAACCTGTGGGATTGTTTGATCTGAAGCTGCCTCTTCCTTCATCCTCACTAGCCTCCCCTTCTATGTCTCAGTTTTCTCTTACATTAAAGCTATCTGAATTTAGGATCCATCCTAAACCAAGAATGATCTTCTTTGAGATCTTCAATTATATTGACAAAGGCATACCTCCAAAAAAAAATTAAGGCCTTGGTCCCTGGTAATAGAAATTAGAATTTGGACATAGCTTTTGGAAAGACACAGTCAACACTTATTATAAAGAATTAGAGCTAAGGCTGGGAATGCTTGTGGAGATAGTGTACACTGTGAAATGGAAAGAAGGATACATTGAGGCCCAAATGTGAAGAATGTGGATCTGGGAGGAATTATGGTAGAAAAAAATGAAATGTCTCTGTTAAATGCCTAGTGTGTTCCAGCTGTTACACATTTCATACTTTAAATACAATCCAATACTGATCTCACAGGAGAATATCTAAGGGGAGAAGGAAAGCAAAAGAAATGAAAAGTTGTCCAGAGATTGAGTCTAGGAAGCCTAGAGAATAAGAACACATGTGAATAGATGTGAATAACCACAGGGAGGAAACTTGGTTAGGGAAATGAAGGAAGGAAGTTTGAAAGTGTGCATCTTACAGAGGCATTGAAACAATCATGTGCCACATGGAATAAGATAATAACAAGCCCTACTCAGTGTTCTATGAATGGTTATTGGATCAAATTCTGAACTACAATGTGTTATAGAAATCAGGGGCCAAAGTTTGAAAATTGTTCAGGGACCAAGAACTTGAAGACAAGATGAAGAAAAAGGGGTAATAGGATGGAGGGTACACTGGCAAACCTGGAGCTAACAACATCCTCAAAAATGCTTGAGAAAGTTTTCTTGAGTTTATCCTCTCAAAATTTTATTACTAAATTCAGCAGACTAATTATTATTTAAATGCTTGCCTAGCTAAATACATATAGGTGAGACTTTATGAGTATCTGCAGCTAATCTATGGAATGATAGAACCTCTCTTTTAAAAGGATTTTCATAGAATATTAATAATCCACAAAATCATAAAGAGATTCATCAACTTGTATTATCCAGATTCATCTAAGAATCTTAGTGGCAAAGAGTTGTTGAGGCTGATGTGGTTAATTGCACACCTGCAGCCCATATAAGGATCAAGGAGATGACTCTAGCTCTTAACAGAACTTGTTCTACTGGATCCAAGACCCTGAATTCATCTAAATTGTAGAAATATGTTTTCACCACTCAGTCACCAAAATATCTTCTATTTAGATCAACAACAGTTTTAATTGCTGACTCAACTCTCCTAAATTCACAAAGTTGTACATACCACTTCACCATCCAGGACTCCAGGAATCTCAAATATCATACATTTCCCTACCTTGCCATAACTTTCATATTCTTCTTGGTTTCATCTTTCAAGTCTTCATCACCTTTCCTGAACTGGCTGTTGCTCAACAGGTCCACACTAGTAGGACACTACCTACAGATTTCAGTTAATAGATTTGGATTCAATTTCTTGATTGCATCCCAAGACTTCTCTTCTCTCTTCCATTACTCATAAATATTTTGCTGATCTTCTTCACTTACAGTGTAGGTCTAGCAGGTGCTTCCCCAGTCCCCGCCCTTCCTGAAAAGTATACTTTTGTGTGTTCTTATGCCCTATTGTGTCACCCAGATTGACAAAGGAGAAGTTGCTGTGCCATGTTGGAGATCTTGTTCTAGCCAGCTCTTCATGTACCCTGGAGGAATAGCAACTTTGAAGAACTAAGGTCAAGGTCTTGAGTCCTCTTCACAAGGAAAGCCTCTTTACAAGGAAGTCCTTCTATACAAGAGTAGGTAGGGGGATGGCAGCTCCCCCAAACTTCCTTTCCTGTTTTTCAACTTCAGTCTTCAGAAGAATTGGATGCAGTTGCTTTAGACATCTTCTGCCTTCAAACTTCCTTTCCTTTTCTCCTATTTCTTGTTTCAAGGTCCCACTGCCTCTGTTACTCTTCTCTTCAGCACTTCACTACTTCCTAATAATCATTAGAAAAGAGGATCACATTCATCAGTGGCAGGAGTCAGAACCCCTTCCCAACCCCCTGCGGAAAACCCACTAGGTACAAGACCATTCTGACTGCTGTGTGAGATGGTGTGGCCACAGTCTCCTTGTCTCCATCTTTATCTCTGAAAGTGTTTCCCAAATATTCCATTTCTTTTTCTTACCCAATTCCTATGGCCTAGTCCACCATCATCTATACCCACCTCTTACCTCCACCTTTCACATTATACCCACATGTTTCTATCTAAAATGATAATCATGGAGGCTAGAGAGACAGCACAGTTGTTAAGAGTCATTATTCTTCCAGAGCACCCAAACTCGGTTCCCACAACCCATATTGGGCAGTAAACAACTGCCTATAACTCAAGGTCTGGGGGTCTAACACTCTCTTCTGGTTGTATACATGTGGCATACATTTAAACATATATACATGCAAACACACACAAATAATAAAATTAAAAATAAATAATTTAAAGAGTGACAATCTTGTGATAGTTGCTCTCAACCTGAATTTTTTGAGGAATTTCTTATAATATGAATTCTTTGAACATCTTTAACAAATAGTTGACCTTCATAAGCATATGCTAAACTTTCAAATCTTCAGTGTTGCAGTACAGTGAAATAATTTCCACACAGACATCTTTGGATCACTCTTGAAGAATAGTCCGAGGAACAAAAGACAAACTCAAATTCCTAAGCTCCTTTCACCATTCCAGCCATGTCTTTCATTTTGCCATCCTGTACTTTAAAACAGAAAGAAAAGTAAGTCCATTGACCACATGATTTTATTTAAGTTTGGCAGGCTATTCTTGAACTCTTACCAAAGTCTCCCTCTGCTTGCTCCACATCCCACTGCAGAGCATTTGACCATTACCACTTCAAAGTTTACCTTCCACTTTCCACACTCAAATAAAAACTTAGTTTTTTTGTTTGCCAGGACCTTTCCTTATTCATCTTTGTATTTCTAGGACATGGCCCAGTGGCTGGCACATAATAGATAGACCTGGATCACTGGCTTAGCATACTTCTGCTGGACAGAACCTGCCAAAGGCTTCCAGGAAGACATGGCTACATCTGTTCCAGGGTGAAGCTTGCCTCTGTGATATGATGTCACCCTATTAATTAGGTTGATAGCATCTCAGTGTGGTCCCACTGCCAGTATTCGCTGTGCTGCTTGTAGTCAGACAAGATTTCTGAAGCCAGAAATTGTATGATTTTTAAGACACTCTGATGTTTGTCTACCATTGCATACATGCCTTACATCTTATCAGATATTCCCCTCCCCTGTTTGAGCACACCCTGAAGGCTATCTGAATCACTGATCAACTAATATCCCCCTGCCTCCTAAAGGAGATCTTAGACAGGGAGCCATTTAGCACTGGGAAGGAAGCGGGCAAGGCACATAGTTTATAAATTGGGGTTTAACTTGTCACTCTGGTTTTTTGCCTGAGTGAATATATGTAACTCAGTGACCTATGAGTGTATCAAGCAACCCAAGTGGAAAGGTTCCTGGAGATAATACCAGGCTGAAATTAGCTTTCCTCAACTTGTTACTGAGCTAACTACTGAACATCTTCCTAGGCTTCCTTTCTATCATCTATTCAGAAAGGGCTGTTTGCCTTTTTATGCCTTGCCTAGAATACACATATCCAGATAGCAAGCACAATGTCTTGGGTTTTAGATTTCATTTTGTGTTTCATGGGACTTCAAGCTTTTACAATTTGGTCAACCTTTTAAAATTGATAACAATAATAATACATGGGGTTAGAGAGAGAGGTCAGTTAGCAAGTAATATGCTTGTCCTACATGCAAAAGGATTTGTAAATGGAGCCCTTAATTGGTCTAAGTAATAAAAACCCAGAGTCAGATATAGAGGAAAATGCTGAGAGATCAGAGAGAAGGAGCAAACCACCACCACAATTTACCTTCTTAGTGTCTCAGCAGACAAGAGAGTAAGTGCCTGTTTCCCCTGCTTATATCCTATTTCTGCCTAGCTACCTCACTTCCTGTCTGTCTGTACAGACCTCTGTGGTTAGCTAGTGGCAAGCTCCATTCTCTGACCCTCAGACAGGCTTTATTTGTACAAGCAAGATATCACCACAAAGATTTGAGTTTGGTACCAAGAACTCATATAAAATACCTTATAGCCTTGAAAAGGTATATCCAGCGCTGAGGAGGCAGAAACAGGAAAATTCCTGTCATTTGCAAGTCGTTCTAGCTGAATCTCTGTGAGTCACAAGGTGGACAGTTCCTGAGGATCAAACCCCAAGGTTGTCTTCTGGCCCCCACATGTATGTACAGATGTGTTCATATGTAGAATATACACAGGAAGGTACACACACACTCACACACTCACAAATGCAAATTAAATAAGGATTGGAATGAACCCCAGTTTGTAGAATCCTGCTTAGCATGCATGAAAACTCAAGTTTTATCCGCACCACAATATAAACTCAACACAGTGACACATGCATGTAATCTATTAGGAAGGTAGAGGCAGGAAAATCTAAAGTTCAAGGTTGCTTAAACACAGCAAGTTTGAGGCCATCCCCAGACACATACAACTCTTATCTCAAAAACAAAGTAAAAGAAAAACAAAGAATAATAACAATATGGCAAAAATCAAGTATGGATGAGTATTTAGGAAAGAAAAACAGTTTTATGTGTTGGGGAGGGTTAATAATGACTGAAAAATGTAATATTTTATAACTGCTAGTATATGTCTGTATTGCTCCCCACATCTTAAGGTTTATAATCTGATAGCTTCTGTGTATGACATTGACTATACAAAAGAAATTTGTGTGTGTGTTTGTTGCTTGTTTATTTGATTGATTGGTTTAATTTGTTTGTTTTTTTGTTTGTTTCTTTCTTTCTTTTTTTGAGACACAGGGTGTCTCTGGGTAGTCCTAGCTGTTTTGGAACTCACTCACTCTGTAGACCAGGCTGACCTCAAACTCAGAGATTCACCTGCCTCTGCCTTCCAAGTATTGTGATTAAAGGAATGTGCCACTACTATCCAGCTGCAAAAGATTTTTTTAAGAGAATGGAAAGAAAATATTGTATTTTTCTTCCACACAGTTGATTTATTTTTACTATGAAGACAAAGGAGGCTTAACAAATGAGAATCCACGTAGAGGTTGTTTTGTATATCTTATCACATTTACTAATTTAAATTGATGTGTGCGTGTGAGAGAGAGAGAGAGGGGGGGAGGGAGAGAGAGAGAGAGAGAATGTACGTTCAAGGCTTAGGGGATAACTTTTGAAAGTCTTGTTCTATTCTTCCACCACATGGATCTGGGGAATCAGAATTAAACCCAGGTTGTCAGGCTTGACAGCAAGCACCTTTACCCACTGAACCATCTCCCTGGCCCACAGTGATGTATTTTTCTGTGTAGGGCACTAGCAGTTCTACAAAAGCACATGGATCCTGAGAAATTCTATTTTAAATGATTGTTATCAAATGAGAAAAATGTGTATAATAGATTGATATTGTATATATGACATCATCAGAGTAATTCTCGACAGAAGGAGTTTTGGTTTTGATCTGTTTCAGTAAGAATAAACGCTTCCATTTAACATATTCCACATCTCAGGGTAGGATGAATTCCCAACAGAACAGCCTCTTGAGTCAAATGTTCTAAGCTTTGTTTATCACCTTAACCATAGTGCATGTGCCAGGTAATGCAGAACATGTCTGTAGTGTCATTCAGCATTTGGTCCTCTGCTTCTGGCTGTAATGCACAGTTGGCACACTGTGTCCTTCAAGCCATTTCTACTCCACAAAGACTGGCAATGACTTAAAGATACATAGAAATCCCCAGAAGCAACATTAATATATCCCATTAAACCAAATCTACATGTAATACTGTGACACCTCATTTATCTGGTTCTCAAAATTGTCTGAAGTCATTCAATACAAAACTGACATAAAGTGTCACAAAGAAAAAATGAATGGAAACACAGAAATTTTAATGAATTGATATTAAATATTTTACTATTTTAAGTTTTATGCAAACACACAGCAATGTGAACCATGCCCCACTCAAGTGAAGAGCCCTAAAACTCAAACTGTGTTAGCTAACCAATTGATCTACTTCTGTCTTCTGGATAGAGTGTAAAGCCATTAAATCATTAATAAATGTGTGTGTGTGTGTGTGTGTGCATGTGTGCGTGCATGCATGTGTGTGTGTGTGTGTGTGTGTGTGTGTGTGTGTGTGTAGTGTGCCTGAAGGCTTGCATACATGTTAGCATATGTATGGTCATACACGTGTGTACATATATGTAGAGGCCAAAAGTTGACATTGGGTGTCTTCATCAATCACAGGCCTGAAATGCCTGTCTCTGGGATTACATGAGGATACCATACATACTGATCCTTCTGACTTCATGAATGTGTTCTATTAATCCAAACACCAGACCTCAGGTTTTCACAGCAAATTTATATTGAATGAATCCTCTGCTGAGCCCAAAGAGAGGAGGGAGGGACAGATGAAGAGAGAGAGGGAAGGAGGGAGAGAGATAATGAAGAAAAGGAATAAATGAAAAAGAAAAAGGAAAGAGAATGGTTGGTTTAAATTTCAAAATGCCAATTTTCAGGACACCCAGGTGTTTAATCTACAACAGTCTTTTTTTTTCCTCCAATAAAACCATGGAGATCTCTCACCATTCCCCAAATGTGTCCCATTCTATATTTCCTTCTAGAATGCACACAACTTGGAGAAATTATAACCTATAGTCTTCTTGTTGTGCTCCAAATATAAAGCTCTTCATTTGGGTTCCATTAAATGTCAGCTGCTATCCTATGGGAAAGAATGTCTTGGTTAAGAGACCATATCTCTAAGCCCATCACCTTTATGTGCTCTCTAGTCCTAAGACACCCAACTGGATGATTCCTCATTCACTTTGACACCTCCTTCTAAAATATTCTATTACTGGGACAGTTTCAGGGCTAGTATATATAGTAAACAATTTGATTTGTATGATACAAGAACTTTTACTTTCATGACTTCACATTGTTTGCATGTCTTGACTTAAAGCTTCACCAGACTTTGGTCCCATCAAGAGGGACTTATGTGGTCTTTCAGGTTATTTTTCTGCTTCTACCTTTGTCCCAACTTAACACTATCCTATCAGGTCATAGCAACCTCCACCCTTTCATGCTTGAATGCTAAGCCTCCCCTTCCCTTTACAATAAGATCCTTCCTAGAAAGCATATGAAGCACACCCCAAGTAGCCAATGGGCTCTAGCCACAGAATTTCCTCAAACAATCTTCTCCATCCTTTTGTTTTAAGGCACTGAGGTAAATATTCCTATTACTGCTCACTTTGTTATCCTAAAGGATTCTACTATCTACCTGTCTGTTCCTGCACAGTTGTTTGGTTGGTTTTTAGTTACATGTATCCAAGATGTTTAGAGGCAAATCTTTAATCCCCCTTTTGTTTCAAAATCCCAAGCATCCTTAAAGTTCCAACAAAGTATGTCGACCATTCAGGCATCTTAAATCTATGTGTCGACAAAGATACCCCACTGCATTTCCAAGACAAAAGCACCAAGTATTAATTCTTGAAAGCTGTCTACAGCTACTCTACATATCCCCCCACAACATAATCTTTCAAATGCACATAAAAATGATGCGTTATAGGAAGTGGAGTTGGCTTTAGCTCACACTTTGAAATCCATTTTCTTTAGCTTATTTGAAGGATTGGAAGACTGGAATATTTTAACTAAAGTTCACAAATGTCACCTTGTTTATCTCCCCACTGCCAGCTAATCTCTCTAAAGTGTTATTCTCATTTTTTGAAATTCAGGGAGCTTTCATTAAAGTTTTATCTATCTCATTCCTGATATTGGCTCTATTAGGAGTCTCCTTGCCTAATGTTAGTAAATTGTCATCTTCTAGGCTTCCATCAAAGTGGATGTGTTTAATGGTCTGAATGACAATGAGGACGTGGGCTCCCTTCTCATCAGCCATGAAATAATTAGTTTCACAGAAATTGGTCCCTGCTGGATGCCTTTAGGCCTCCCTTGCATTCTGCTGAACTTCAAAGATTCCAGGTCAGACAACACCTATAAGATGCTGGGTACATCTCCCTACTGAATGCTATTAAAGGTTAAAATGTCTTGTGCTAAAGAAAACATGTTACTTCTAAAGGTTTTCACCTTTAACTTTGAATTATTGTTGAGATATTTGCTTATCCATGTGATTATCTTGTGAGTCTTGTTTGCAGGACTGCTGACCACCAATAATAAATCTATTCTGCATATTTTCTCAGCAAGTGTTTTGATATAGTCAAAGTACCCTGAGTCTTTTTCATGCCCTTTTAGAACTCATTGGATGTCACTCTGAGATCATCCTTTCCTGTTGCCTTCCAAGATACTTTACTACTTACTAATTACTCTTCTTTATTGTTAATTGGGTGCATATATTTCTGAGTGTGGGGATGTGTACATGAGTGAAGATGCCCTTAGATGTCTGAGGCACTAGATAACCCTGCAGCTGGAATCCCAGGTTGTTGTGGGCTGCCTAACATGGATGTTGGGAACCAAAATTGGGTCCTCTGAAAGATCAGTAAGTGCTCTTTACCACTGAACTATTGCTCTAGTCCCTATTTCTGACTTTTTAAATGTAGCATCCATAAATATTATTTGAGGTGAGAAAGACTTTGTTTGGAAGGATGAACAAATCATCATCACAAGTTTAAGTATTGCATTTCAATGCATATATCTGAAGACTGTAAGAACATTGTGTGTGTGTATGTGTGTGTGTGTGTGTGTGTGTGTGTGTGTGTGGTCTGTGTAGAGGAAGAGTCTTCTGCATGTGTCCCATCAACACACCACTTGTAAAATTATTCAGTAATATAGTAGTAAATATTTAACAACTGGTTATCAAGGATGGGAGATACACATTTGTAGCCTTTCCCCATTTCAAAAGTTCAATGAGAGCCTGTCTCAACAAAAGGACACAGATAATTAAAAATGGATGTATTTAGTATTCAATTTAATATAGTGTTAAATTTCAATTTTTAAAATTCAGTTTTAAATAATGACTACATTTATCATTGGCCTTCAAATTACTAAAAACTTAAAAGTTGGTTCACAGACATTTATACAGCCATGTCTAGGACAGTACCAGTCTGTATTCTGATATGACACTGCAAAACTAAGTGTCCTTTCTACAGTCTTGAACTTCTCTTGTCCTATTGTTAAGATCTGTTTGATTTTTTTGTTCACTTGAGTAAAATATTATATGAAATGTGTTCTATTTCCATCTTGTAAATTCAACTGATTACTTCACCTTGTCAATAGCTCCTTAGATTCCCAATTCTGTCATCACACATCTCTGTCATCTCTCCCTTCTAGCTTCAGGTTATCCCCACATCTGATGAAGGAAGCATTTTCTATTCTAATAAAAATATATCTGTTAAGACAGAGCCAAGAACAGTATTGATGGCCATGAAAATAGAATACTCTGTCTACACAAGGGCCAGAACATTCATCACAACAAAATATATGTCTGCTCAATTAACTCAGTATCCATTCCAAATTTCTCTACCTTGTCCTTGATACTATGGAGATTTCAATAAGGAAGTGTGAGACTAAGTCTAGAAACTGTCACTACCACCTCATGCCAGAAAAGGGGATTATACTGCCCCTCCGAAAAAATCAGTCCCTTTAACCAGGATCCACCAACTGTCCCTCTTCTTTGTCTATTAACCTCTTTGTTTACTCCCCCCAGAGTTCCCTTAGAAACACGGCATCACAGCAGTGCCTGCCACCTCTGCTTTTCTTTAAAGAGATCACATTTCAAGTTTTCTCTGCTCTTTGGCCTTAGTAGAGGGAAATCTACCCTCTTTTATTTATCCACCGACGACTAACACTATGACCTTGTTCCAACTTGCATAGTAAATGGATTCAGCCAGAGATGTCAGCCATTGCTCATTTGCCACCTTCCTGTTTAACAGCATCGAAACCTGGCCAACTGGAGGCAGAAGCTTCTCCTCCATGATTGGAAAAACATCCTCTCATTCCACAGAGATGTGATTCTATTTCCTCTCCCATCAATACCTTTCCCTTAGCCTCATCTTCTAAGACCATCTCTTTATTTAAAAACAATATTCTCCTTCAACCCCGATTATCTATCTCATCATGCCTCTCTGCCTGCTATGTTTACTTCCTCTTCCTCAAACCTCTGCTCACAGCAATTTACTTTTCCCATTCATTACATTAGTGAGTGTAACTAAGTCACTGGGAATTTCAGAGTCACACACACACACACACACACACACACACACCTTTTCATTTCTTACCTTTCAAGGGTTCTCTGCAGCTTTTAAACTCACTAGTCTTGCTTGATTTCATTTTCCTTTAGTTTCCTTTTGTCTTTGTTTCAGTGACATCAGCTTCTTTCTAATTGTGATTTCCATCTCTGAATGCCTGCTCCTTCTCGTCAGGTTTCTCCTTCTGCCACCACTTGCTTGGGTACTCTCGGCAGTGCCCACAGATTCCACCACTACCACCACAGCTTTGTGTATGACTCTGAAACCTCTATTTTCAGCCCAGACATTATTGGAATCCTACTTCAAATGCAGTTCTCCATATTCATGATTCATTCTCCCAAAATGAACATCTTATCTTTCCCCTGAATCCTCTCACCACAGTATGCACCTCTCCCTGTAATTCCTATTCTGGTATATAGGGCCACTACCTGCCCACTTGCCCAGGCCAGAAAAATCCCCAAAGTCTCGTTATTTTCCTCTACCTCCATTCAGTAAGTCATGGAATCCTTTAAATGTCAAGATTTGCAGTTCTTATTGCAAAGCAGGTTTGTAAAGGACACTTTTCTGATTACTTCCACTGGTACAGCCTCTCACTTCAATCTCCTACTTAGAGACAGAACCATCTTTTTGAGCAGTCCTGATGATGATCATTCTCTACTTCAAGCCCTACAGCAATTCGTTTTACTGCAGGAAATCACCCAAATATCTCATCTCTATGCCACTTGCCCATCTCTCCCTCCAGTACCAGCTGGTCCTGCACACCTAATTGGCTACATTCTTCTCCGACATCTACACCTTTCATTATCTCTATGCCTTTGTATACAGTGACTTCAATTCATCAGATGATTCCCTCATTGTTTAGTGATCGAATTCTTATTCTTCCAAATAACAGCTGAAATAGACTCCACAGTGACCACTCTCCTCAGTCACCTGATCTCATGTGTTACTGTTCTTTCTCACACAGGCCTTTACCATTTGCTATTGACAGCGTTTATTCACCCAACTATTTTCACCATTTCTCAGTATAAAAGCTGAGAAGCCATCAAGGTTTTTAAGACAAGAAATTCAGTTTTATTTATTTTCATGTCTCCAGTTTCCCAGAACAGGGCCTGAGGCATACTCACATGATTTAATAAACCTTCACTAAATGAATGACTCTCAATTTCTTGTATTTCATGTCTAAATAACGTTTGTTCATTTTTACTGTGTGTATGTGTGTGTGTGTGTGTGTGTGTGTGTGTGTGTGCAAGTGCATGTGTGCGCATGTGTATAAGAGTTCGGGCATATTTGTGCATTTATGGAGAGAGATGGAGAGAGAGAAAGAGACAGAGAGAGAGAGACAGAGAGACAGGGACAGAGACAGAGAGAGACAGAGAGAGATCCTGGGGGATAATTCTGAGGACTCAATTCTCACCTTTCATGTTGAGCTGGTCTACCCTTCCTTTACTGTTTTGGGTGCCTTAGCTGCTTCTTACCCATTCGCCCATCTTTACCTCCCAGCTCCAGGTAGGAGTACTGGGACTATGAATGGTACTACTGAATCTAGCTTTTTACTTGAGTAGTCATGGAAATGTGGTAGTTGTGCTTGTGCAGCAAGCACCTTTACTCAGTGAGCCATTTTCTCATCCCCTTCATTTTTGAAAACATAAATTAAGTTTAGCTAAATCTAGCTCATCTGCTTCTAGAAATATAAATATTATTCCAATTATATAAGTGGGTAAAATAATTTGAATGTGAATATGTGTACAGAACCAGGGCCAAGTTTGCCCAACTGATGGTGTCTTAATGGATGAGCTAAACCTTATTTTATAATAAAACTGTGAGCATGAGTACCATTGCATTTATCCATTTCATGAACAATATCATTAGAAACATAGACTCTTTAATTTCTCATCTACTCTGTCCTCCTTAATGTTTTTACTTGTGGAGTTTTTGTTCTTGTTGGGTTTTTTTCCTCCTTACAACCCAGCTCTACTTGTGTTTGTCTCTGATGATAAGAAAGCTGCTATGACTCCAGGTATTGTTAGGTGATACAAGGGGATGGGGCAATATTTGGTTCTTTTGTATGAAATGAACAGTTTTCACAAAAACTTGTTAGACTCACAGAACTGAGTTGAGCTGAACAACCATAGTAGACAACAGGAAATTGAAGAAGTCAGTCTCTTGTCTCTATCTGTCTGTGTCTTGTCTGTGTCTGTCTGTCTGTCTCTCTGTCTCTCTCTCTGTCTCTGTCTCTCTCTCTGTCTCTGTCTCTCTCTCTGTCTCTGTCTCTCTCTCTCTGTCTCTCTGTCTCTGTTTCTCTGTCTGTCTGTCTCTCTCTCTCTCTCTCTCGTGTCTGTCTGTGTGTGTATGTGTGTGTGTGTGTGTGTGTGTGTGTGTGTGTGTGTGTGTGTAAGGAGTGAAGGAGATTTCAAAAGCAGCTCCCATCTTCCTTATAGAACTAGATCAGTTCTCCACCTAGTCACTGCTCTGTAGTTTCTAAATAGTGTTGACTATTAATTTATATTACTCCATTGCTTTCTTAATTGAAATTTTACAAAAACTGTCCCTTGATAGCTTGGACATGAATTCTACAGTCCTTCCAGGCCTAAGAAACTCTTTCTTTGAATCATTTTTCTTCTCTGATATGTTCATTGGTACTTTTGTAGCCAAAGTTCTAATTTTTTTATACTTACCTTTTTAGTTCTATGTGTATGACTTGTCTTAAATAACTAAAAGTTTAATATAGCTCTGAGTACAGATTTTAATATAGATGTATATCACTAGCATACTACTGCCTATTTCTATTCCCAGATCGTGAATATAAAACTGAGTAGAACCCAATGGACTCCCATAGAACAATGTGAGGTGCACTCTCACCCTGAACTCTTGGGGAAGGGTCTAGGCCCTGCCCTATATGAAATGACAGACTATGCACACCCCCATGGAGGGCCTCACCCTCCCTGGGGAAATGAGGGGATAACGGGGGGGTTGGGGGAGGGCACGGGAGGAAGGGAGGGAATGGAAGAGGGACCTGGAACTGACTTATGAAGCAACCTTGTTTCTTACCTCAATTTAAACTGGAAAATAAAATTTAAAAAAAAGAACCCGATTGGAAGGTAGAATGCTGACTTTTGAGTCACTCTGGTGCAGATATTTCTAACCAACCACTTGCATACTCAGTTTACAATATCTTCTCATCTCAAAGACAAAGCTTCAGGCTTTTTGTGCAGTCAAAGGAAATTATAACTAAAGGGAGTCTGGAGCATCATGCTCTAACACCCTTCATTTTACAGTTCAGATATCAGATATAGAAAGTCAAAATGACTAGTTAGGATTACAGGGTTAAGCCTATAGGGTCACAATATTATTGAATTCACCATTGATACAATGCTAAAAGAATTCTAGTTTCCTTAATCCTACTCTGATATTTCTTCTGCTAGATTGAGGCCTGAGTTGATTTTGCATGAGAAACATTAGTATTGGATATACTGGACTAGTGGGACAAGAGCCATAGAGATGTAAGTGGAGAGAGAGTTCAGGAAAGGGCAAGGACACAGAGAAAACACAAGCATGGTTCAAGCAATCTTGGGCATTAGGTCCAATGTGGAAGGACAGGGCACAGCAGTGGGTGAGCCCTTGGGAGCAAGGCAGGTGGCAGTCATGATTTTAGGGGATGTGCCCATATGCTGCAGAATCCCTGACAGAAGGCTGAGTTTGGGCAAGGCTCTGGTTCCTGGGGAGGAGTGCCAGGTGCCAGGTGGGGCCTACGGCCTGGCCAAATGCACTGCAATAGAGCCATGCACTCTGGACATAGAGAGGGAGACCTGACTCAGGACAATTAGTTATAATCAAGAAAGAAGACGTTAGGCAAATTAAAACACAGACAGGGCCAAGATTGGGACAGAACTATGACATGAGCTCCACAGGCATCCAGGGCTCACCCTGGAATGTCCGTGTTTGGTTCTGAGGAGCAGCAAAAGATAGTCAAACATTTGAAGCAAGTTCACCAGCCACAGCTAAACTTTGAGGCTTCAGGTCCAGGGCTCCAGATTTAATTCCCATTGAGCAGTCTTCCATGACAGGAGACAGGGATAAGGCTGGTGATTTATAGAGCTATGAATGCAATGCGAAGATAGGGTACTATACTCTGCAGTTGCTAGAATCCAATTTATGTTTAAAATTTGACTGAAATTATGCTGGGGGTGCATTACAGAAGAAAGTCTGTCAGGAATCACAAACTTAATTTGATAATTCCATAGGAAAAGCTTATCTCGTAGCCTTTTAAAAACAGCATCTTGGTGGTAGGTGATGTTTATGAATTTACAACTTACAATATGTTTACAGATTTGTGTGTACTATTATAGCTATGTTGTTGGTCTGTGTTAAGTTTAGATCTTCTTTAGCCACACCTATTTCTCTGAGACTATTTTGTGAGTAGAGTTAACATGAAATTAGCCACTAGAACAATGTGTAGATTATATAATAGTATGTCAACTGAACAGGAAGAGAATTCATGGTGGTCAGATCTTTCCATAATCAATATTAATGTTATTAAGGTGAGCAAGATCACCACACCATGAGATACTGGATCCAATCATTTCATCCATCTTAATGATCAAATCTAGCCATCTGAACAATGATATAATCAACTTCTCAGTATCCATCCATTATGATGGCAGGAAACAAATCCAAACAAATTGGTAGTGTTTTGATCAGTTCTATAAAGCAACCATGCACACAACTGCCAAACACACACTGGTTTCAGTTTCTATGCATTTTATGATTCAGTTGGGTTTTTTTTCTTTCTGTTCTGATTGCCTGGAAATACTCAGTTTTCCTGTTGTTATCTCTATGCTTGCTCATTGGTGTTAGCGTCTAACTACTTTGCTTTTCTTAATTTAGATTATTATCAACAAATCTATAAACCATTAGTCTTCATTTTGGATTCATTGTTCATTTTAGAGACCTATACAAGTATGTTGCAAAATTAGAAAACATATTTTCTTCTGAGTTTTAGTTTTCTCTTTTACATTTATGTGTGCCTTCCAATTTGCCTTACTTTTCCTCAAAAGCAAATGCTAGTATAAATTATTTTACATATAAGCAAAGGTATATTAAATGCTGAGGCATTTTCACATTTATGTAGGTATATGCTTAATATAGGCATGCACATGCCTATATATTTTTAGGTTGACTATAATCCATGTACAACTATTAAGACAATTTTTTTCTGGATATGTCATGTCCGCTTCTTACAAATGGATCTGTCTATTGTTCCCTACTTAAAATTCACTTAACTTTTTCTTTTTGGAGTACTTCCATTCTAGTATCTGGCCAGTGCTTTGTGTTGTTTTCTGGGCTGGATCTACATAACATCTTGTAGCTAGAAG